ATCCAGTCATGGTGGTGTGCACCTGTAGTCCCAGCTACTCAGGCAGGCCTGAGTGGGAGAATTGCTTGAGCCACACGGAGGTTGAGGCTGCAGTTAAGCCACGATCATGCCCATTATCCCTCTACCTGGGCACAGAGCGAGAACCCTGTCTCAAAAAAGACTAGGCTTCCCATTGCAAGTTTTAACTTGGGCTCTGATTGGTCTAACTTAAAGAGCAGGACCTGGCCAATGTGGTAACCAAAAATGCAAAAAAATGAATAGCTTTGTCATTCTAATAAATAGTCAGAGGTAGGGAATTTACTGATTTTTTTTTCTTTTTTCTTTTTTTTTTGAGGACAGTCCAGGGTTTCACTCTGTTGCCCAGGCAGAGTGCATGGTGTCAATCACAGTTGCTGCAGCTTGACCATCTCAACTCAAGCAGTCATCCCCCATCAGCCTCCATGTAGCGGAACTACAGGCACACAACCACCAGGCAACAGCTAATTTTTAAAATTTGGTACAGGACGGGTCTTGCATATAGTTCCCCAAGCTGTTCTCAAAATCCCTGGGGCTCAACACAGTCCTCCCACCTTGGCCTCCCAAAGTCTGGAGAATACACAGGCATGAGCGACACATGCCAGCTGTTTCCAGGGAGAGGAAAATGCTATTCCTGGAAAGAAAAACAGTAGATTCCAGTAACCTACCAATTTTCCTCAGCACTTCCATGCTCAATCAGGGACCATGGATCTATTTCCTCATTGTTTCGATTCAGCAAACTTAGCAACTTACAGCACTTACCTGTGCCCAAACACTAACCGCAATAGTTAACTTCTGTATAGAGTGATGAAACAACGGAATTCTGCAGTCAGACAAACTGAATTTGAATCCAGGCTCATCACACATTAGGTGATCTCAAGGTAATAACTTACACTCCATGGCTCATATCCTTAATCATGTCCCAACATAACAAAAGATGTTGTCGGGAGACTCACACATTCTTGCACTTACGTGTCTGTGCTGGGCCCTGCCACAGATGTGCTTGAGATGATGTCATTACTGTTGGGTGTGGCACCTGCAGGCCAGGCGACAGCAGGTGTCTCATATACTGCACATGTCCTTGGGTAAACTATTCATACTCTTCCCAAACTTTTGAAGAGACCTATGGAATTGTGCACACATTGGAGCATTGGTTATAAAGCGTCAGTCATGTTACGCGCTGCACATAGACCTTACCAAGCCCCTGTGCGAGTGTTTTACACGTCATCATATCTGCCTTAATCCTCCAACGATGATGAAGAACAGGCATTTTATGTTTCAAATAAGCAGAGTTCAAAGACATTAGTAAATGGGTGCTGTATTTAATTCTTTTCTTTTAATTTTTAAAAAATTTTTTTTTTTTTTTTTTTTGAGAGAGTCTCGGCTCCATCGCCCGAAACTGGAGTGCAGTGACCGTCTCAGGCTCACTGCGAAGCTCCCGGCTCCTGGGTTTCACGCCATTCATCCTGCCCATCAGGCTCCCGAGTAGCCTGGACTCGAAGGCGCCCGCCACCGTCCGCGCCCAGTTTTTTGTATTTTTTTAAAGTGGGAGACGGTGTTTCACCGGGTTATAGCCAGGAATAGGTCTCGATCTCCTTGACCCTGTTGATCCGCCCGTCCTTCAGCCTGCTCCAAAGTGGCTGGATGTAGCAGGCTTGAGCCACCGCGCCCGCGTCCTATTTTTTAAATTTTTTGTAGAGGCAATGTCTTGCTATTTTGCCCAGGCTGGTCTCGAACTCCTGGACTCAAATGATCCTCCTGCCTCAACCTCCCAAAATGCTTAGGATTACAGGCCTGAGCCACCATACCCAGCCAGGGCTGGTATTTGAACCCTCACAAACTACCCTTATAATAGTTAGAGTCCATTATCTTTTTAGAGCACCATATTGTCTTTCAGAAAGAAAGCTGATGTTTGATATTTTAGGACGTTTATGTCACAGCAGACTTTCATATGTATTTTTTCATTGTTTGTCTTTTACTGGCTTGTGATTTTGAAGCCCAGAGATATTTTTGTGTATATGATGGGGCCACTACAAGCATGTTTCTTTTGCCTTCCAGCTCCAATCATTGCAGTCTGAACTCCAGTTTAAAGATGCAGAGATGAATGAATTAAGGACAAAGCTCCAGACCAGTGAACGCGCAAATAAACTGGCTGCTCCCTCTGTTTCCCATGTCAGGTAATGATGGTGCTGGAGGAGGGATAGTTCAGTTTTGCATTATTTAGTAAACAATCTGCATAACAGTGTCAGGCCGGTCCTAAATGAAGGTCATTTAGACCCTGCCACCTGGACAGAGATCCTCTTTTCCTGAAGGATTCAGAGGTGGTTTAGATGAAGCTTGCGTGGTTTGAGACATCACAGCATAAAGGCCCATACTCTAGAAATGCTGCCACTATATGGCACTTTACAAACATAATTCCTCCGGACCAGAAAGACCTGGAAAAACGGACCGGGTGTGGTGGCTCACACCTGTAATCCCAGCACTTTGGGAGGCCAAGGCGGGCGGATCATGAGGTCAGGAGATTGAGACCACGGTGAAACCCTGTCTCTACTAAAAATACAAAATAATTAGCCGGGCATGGTGGCGGGTGCCTGTAGTCCCAGCTACTCAGGAGACTGATGCAGGAGAATAGCATGAACCTGGGAGGCAGAGCTTGCAGTGAGCTGAGATCACGCCACTGCACTCCAGCCTGGGTGACAGAGCAAGACCCTATTTCAAAAAAAAAAAGTGGGTATTTTCAGCATTTTCTGGTGAAAGTGGGAAAATGTTGGGTCCTGAAATGTATATGGAACTGTTTTTTACAGGTGATCATAAGGTCCACAGATTATTAGATGGCATGTCAAAAAATCCTGCGGGGAAAAACAGAGAAAGTGTTCCAATTAAAGATAATTTTGAATTAGAGGTACTTCAAGCACAATACAAAGAACTGAAAGAAAAGGTAAGTGACTTAACTTGCTGTTTTTGTAGCTAATTCAGTCACGTATGTGTTTAAGAGCATGTACAGTAAAATATACAAAAGTTGTAAAACAAGTGTCTAGATTCATCCCTATGACATGGGAGAAGACTAGGGAAAGACAGCCAGAAAGTTTAGGCTGAAAGAAACTAAATCATGAAATTCCTAATGGCAAAGGCAAGAAGAAAAACACTGTATACCAGATCCAAAAAGAGATACAAACTTAGGGTACTGAGACGAATTTATAGCATATATCTTCACGTGAAGAACACAACTTCATAATGGTTGCTATTTTCTTTTTTTTTTTTTTTTTGAGACGGAGTCTTGCTCATTCTCCCAGGCTGGAGTGCAATGGCGCGATCTCGGCTCACTGCAAGCTCTGCCTCCCGGGTTCTCGCCCAGTCTTCCTGCCTCAGACTCCCGAGTAGCCTGGGAGCTACAGGCGCCCGCCACTATGCCCGGCTAGTTTTTGTATTTTTAGTAGAGACGGGGTTTCACGCTGTTAGGACAGGATGGTCCTCGATCTCCTGACCTTGTGATCCGTCGTCTCGGCCTCCCAAAGTGCTGGGATTACAGGCTTGAGCCACCGCACCTGGCAATGGTTGCTTTTCACTAGCAGCTTTGCAAGAAAGCAGACATCCTTCATATCACCATCTGTAGGTCCCTAAGAAAACCAGGAATTAATGTGGAATTTTAGTTTGGCAAAGTATGTGGACCAGATCTTTTTTTTTTTTTTTTGAGATGAGGTCTGTCATCCAGGCTGGATGCGGTGACACAATCTCGGCTCACTGCAACCTCTGCTTTCTGGTTTTAAGCGATTTGTATGCCTTAGCTTCCAGAGTAGTGGGACTAACAGGTGTGCACCACCATGCCCAGCTAATCTTGATTTAGTAGAGACGGAGTTTCACCATTCTGGCCAGAGCTGGTCTCACAAACTCCTGGCCTCAACCTCCCAAAGTGTTGAGATTACAGACATGAGGCTACCACACCCAGCGACCCCCGATTGTTAATGCCTCTTAAGGCCTAAGAATCCAAGCTAGGCATGGTGGCTCACACCCTGTAATCCCAGCACTTGGTAGGCTAAGGCCAGTGAATCACCATGAGGTCAGGAGTTCGAGACCAGGCCTGGCCACATGAGTGGAAAACCTGTTTCTCTACTAAAAATACAAAAACTTAGCTGGGCGTGCGGGGTGGCGGACCTGTTAATAGGTCAGCTAACTCGGGGAGGCCGAGTTTCAGGCTGGGAACCCCAGGAGGTGAAGGTTGCAGAGCCTACGATCAGTGCCATCCACACTCCAGCGCCAGGGCGACAACAGGAGAGACTCCGTCTCAAGAAAAAAAAAAAAAAAAAGCTTGCCGGGGCACGGGTGGGCTCAAGCCTGTAATCCCAAGCCACCTTTGGGGGAGCCGAGACGGGCCGATCAACAAGGTCAGGAGGAATCGAGACCATCCTGGCTAACCCGGTGAAACCCGCGTCTCTACTAGAAATACAAACCGGCGGGGCGCGGTGCTCAAGGCTGTAATTCCAGCCATTTGTGAAGGGCCGAGACGGGATGGATCACGAGGGTCAGGAGATCCGAGACCTCCTGGCTAAAACCACGGTGAAACCCCGGTTCTACCTAAAAATACAAAAAAAAGCTATCCGGCAAGGTGGG